ATCTCAAGACCTACAAAAGCTACGGGGCTGAAATTTTGGGGACTTAATCTACATGCACGTACAGGCTCCAATCCCCAAAATTGGCGCCATACCCCGCGTGTTACCGGCGTACGGGCCCCCCAAAGTTTTCTTCGAGTAAGTTCATAACTCGCGGATCTGGAAAGCTAGAAAGCTGAAATTTTAGGGGATTGTTCCCCGTCCAGGTAGGCACTAATGATCTCAAATCCAACCCCCGGGTAAGCGTGGTACCCGCGTAAGGGCCCCCCAAAATTTCTCCCGTCAAATTCATAGTACGGGGTTCTGAGGTGCTAGAAAGCTGAAATTTTAGGGGAATGTTCCCCGCCCGCGCAAATTCGTAACTCGGGGTTCTGAGATGCTAGAAAGCTGAAATTTTAGGGGAATGTTCCCCGTCCAAGCAGGTGTTAACTCGGGGTTCTGAGATGCTAGAAAGCTGAAATTTTAGGGGAACGTTCCCCGTCCAAGCAGGTGCTGATCGGGGTTCTGAGATGCTAGAAAGCTGAAATTTTAGGGGAATGTTCCCCGTCCAAGCATATGCTAATTACTCAAATCCAGCCCCCGGGTAAGCGTGGTACCCGTGTACGGGCCCCCCAAAATTTTTCCCGCGCAAGTCAAACTAGAAAGCTGAAATTTTAGGGGAATGTTCTCCGTCCAAGCAAATGTTAATGGGCTCAAATCCAGCAAAACGCTGAAATTTTAGGGGAATGTTCCCGGTCCAAGCAGATGCTAATAGGCTCAAACCCAGCCCCAAAAGCGTGATACCCGTGTACGGGCCCCCCAAATGCAAATGCTAATGGGCTCAAACCCAGCCCCCGGGTAGGCGTGGTACCCGCGTATGGGCCACCCAAAATTTCCCGCGCAAATTCATAACTCGGGGTTCTGAGATGCTAGAAAGCTGAAATTTTAGGGGAACGTTTCTCCCGCGCAAATTCATAGTACGGGGTTCTGAGGTGCTAGAAAGCTGAAATTTTAGGGGAATGTTCCCCGCGCGCAAATTCATAACTCGGGGTTCTGAGGTGCTAGAAAGCTGAAATTTTAGGGGAATGTTCCCCGCCGCAAATTCATAACTCGGGGTTCTGAGATGCTAGAAAGCTGGAATTTTAGGGGAACGTTCCCCGTCTAAGCAAATTCATAACTCGGGGTTCTGAGATGCTAGGAAAGCTGAAATTTTAGGGGAATGTTCCTCGTCCAAGCAGATGCTAATGGGCTCAAATCCAACCCCCGGAAAAGCTGAAATTTTAGGGGAATGTTCCCCGTCCAAGCAGATGCTAATGGGCTCAAATCCAGACCCTAAAGCGTGATACCCGTGTACGGGCCCCCAAAATTCTTCCCGCGCAAATTCGTAACTCGGGGTTCTGAGATGCTAGAAAGCTGAAATTTTAGGGGAATGTTCCCCGTCCAAGCAGGTGTTAACTCGGGGTTCTGAGATGCTAGAAAGCTGAAATTTTAGGGGAACGTTCCCCGTCCAAGCAGGTGCTGATCGGGGTTCTGAGATGCTAGAAAGCTGAAATTTTAGGGGAATGTTCCCCGTCCAAGCATATGCTAATTGGTTCTGAGATGCTAGAAAGCTGAAATTTTAGGGGAATGTTCCCCGTCCAAGCAGGTGCTAATGAGGGTAGGCGTGGTACCCCGCGTACGGGCCCCCCAAAATTTTTCCCGCGCAAATTCATAACTCGGGGTCGAGACGCTAGAAAGCTGAAATTTTAGGGGAATGTTCCCTGTCCAAGCAGATGCTAATGGGCTCAAATCCAGCCCTAGCGTGGTACCCCCGCACGAGCCCCCCAAAATTTTTCCCGCGCAAATTCATAACTCGGGGTTCTGGAGCCTGGTACCCGCGTACGAGCCCCCCAAAATTTTTCCCGCCCAAATTCATAACTCGGGGTTCTGAGGTGCTAGGAAAGCTGAAATTTTAGGGGAATGTTCCTCGTCCAAGCAGATGCTAATGGGCTCAAATCCAACCCCCGGACTAGAAAGCTGAAATTTTAGGGGAATGTTCCCCGTCCAAGCAGATGCTAATGGACTCAAATCCAGCTTAACGCTGAAATTTTAGGGGAATGTTCCCGGTCCAAGCAGATGCTAATAGGCTCAAACCCAGCCCCAAAAGCGTGATACCCGTGTACGGGCCCCCAAAATTTTTCCCGCACAAATTTATAACTCGGGGTTCTGAGATGCTAGAAAGCTGAAATTTTAGGGGAATGTTCCCCGTCCAAGCAGATTCTAACTCGGGGTTCTGAGATGCTAGAAAGCTGAAATTTTAGGGGAATGTTCCCCGTCCAAGCAGGTGTTAATGAGCTGAAATCCAGCCCCCGGGTAAGCGTGGTACCCGCTTGCGAGCCTGCCAAAGTTTTTTTCGGGTAAGTCCATAACTCGGGGATCTGTGAAGCTAGACAGCTGAAATC